CCACCATGATGCCGAAGACAAAGCCACACAGAGTTATGACCAATGCCGAAGCCACCACAAGGAGACCCAGACTGATGCCGATGAAAACTGCCACCAAAGCCACCGAAAAGAAGTCCCAGGCTGTTCATTGGAATCCCAGGCCCAGATCCAACTCGTCTTCAAAGCTGCCGCTGAAGTAGCCTGGTGAAGGACCAACCAGACACAGCCATGAGGAACGGCTGGATCCACACCATATTCTCCACTACAGCAGCCTCTGGGTGTTTCATTCCTTACCCAAAGTCGCCCAAAAAGGAGGCAAGATGAACTTGGTGTTACAAAAAAGTTTTTGAAAAAGGATGCGGCAGGCCTGGTGAAAGAAACAGACAGGCCAGGAGCCCAAACACTTTCTTACCCTGCTGCTGCCATCTTGCCCATTATGCCATTAGGTCCCAGGCTGTTGGAGAAGGGGAAACAACCTTTCCACATCTACCCTGGCAAATATACAAGGAATCTTGTATGTTTCAATAAGATTGCCTCTCATTCTTCTACATCCAAATCTACTCAACCTCTCCTCATCTGTATAGGATCAGCTGAGTGAAGCTTCTTTTGACTGCCTCCAATGCCAGTATATCTTTCTTCAGATAAGGGACGCAAAACTGATCACAATATTTCAGTTGAGATCAAACTGGTACCTTGCATAGTTTTAGCAAGACTTTCCTATTTTTATTTTCCATTCCCTTTGAAATAACAGCCAATATCCACTTGCCTTTCCTATTAACCACTGAACTTAGATACTACCTTTTTGTGATTCATGCCTGTGTTGCAGCTTTCTGCAGTCTTTCTCCATTTAAATAATATTCACTTCCTCTTTTCTTCCTCACATTTCCCACATTATATTCCATCTGTCAACTTTTTGCCCTCTAACTTGTCTATATCATTCCTTCGACTCTTTATGTCATCTGCAGTACTCATCTTCTCACTATTTCTGTGCCATCTGCAAGCTCGGCTACAGTACATTCAGTTTCTTCATCCAAGTCATTAAAATATATTGTTAGTATTTGTGGCCTCAGCACCAATCTTTGCGGCACTAGACTAGTTACAGTTGCTATCCTGAAAAAAGCCTCCTTATCCCAGCTCTCTGTCTTCTATTAGTTAACTAATCTTCCATCCATGCTAGTATACTGTTCTCAGCACCATGGGCTCTAGTTACGTAGCCTCATTTGTGGTACCTTAGAAAATCCCTTCTGAAAATCCAAATATATTACATCAATGTTCCCCTTTATCTAAACTAACTGTTGCACTGTAATGCGGTGCCTGTAAACTTTTCACTCTACTCATTTTGAGTACGTGACAATAAAACTAATTCAAATCAATTCAATTCCCCCTCTCAAAGAATTCTAATAAATTTGTCATGCCTGATTTCTCTCTTGTGAAGACAGTCTAGCTCTGTTTGATCATATAATGTAATTCTATATGTCCTGATTGCATTCTTCATAATTGACTCTAAATATTTTCCTAATAACAGATGAAAAGATATTTGGCTGATAGTGTTGTCTCCCTACCTTTTTAAATTTAGCTGGTACATTGGCAATTTTCCAATTCTCTGAGACTTTTCCAGAATCTAAGGATTCTTGAAAGATTACTGTCAGTGCATCCAACATCTTTGTAGCTACTTTTTTTATATCTATGATGCATCCTTCAGGTTGAGGGGACTTATTGTTCTTTAGTCCCATTATTTTCCTTCATACTTCTTCTCTAGTGATAGATATTGTATTTATTTCCTTTCCATTTTCTTTTGCACTTTGATTATTAAATATTTTTGGAATGCCACTAGTGTCTTCTACCATGGAAAATGATGCAAAGTATTTATTCAAATCCTCTGCCATTTCCTCGTTCCATGTAATTATTTGCCCAGGCTTGTTCTCTAAGGAGCCTATGTTCACTTGGGCCTCTGTCTTCATTTTTATATATTTAAAAGAAGCTATTGCTGTCAGTCTTGACATTAATTGCAAGTTTACCCACAAAGTTTAGCTTCTCCCTCTATTTATTTTGGTCATCTTTCGTTGGTTTTTAAAGCATTCCAATCCTCTGTCTTAATTTGATGCATAGTTCTCCGTTTAACCATTGTTGGCTTACACATTGAATAGAACTATCATTAACATGATTATTACATTTTAAATTTATCTCTGTTGTAAAAAATGAATATTGTTTTCATGTAATCAATGAGTAATGATGCTGACTAATGGCCAAAGGTCTCTCAATCTTTTGAATGGAGAAACCTGAATTTCCTTGTGCAATTGAAGCTGCATCGATGTTGTTTCATGGTTTAACACATGGCAAGGATTATTTTAACATTGTTACACCTCTGGGCTTGATAAGTCTTACCAGTACTTCTGTCATCTTAGAAAAGTGCACAGCTTAAATTAATGTTTTAAAGAATGGATCATATTGAACAAAATCAATAGAAACTATACTATGGATAATAACTCAGAGTAAATTACTCTCTTAAGTTAAAACCAGAATTATTAACAACATAGTTTAGCCTCACAAATGTTATCACCATTTTTGAATTTATTCTTTAAAACGTTTTCAAGATTGACAATACTTGTTGGCTTTATTCAAATCTTCTGCAGTCATGATATGCATATTTAACATATACTGCATTCGGACTAATTTTCTAAGTTGAGGATATGTGTGGTGAATTTTGAAATATAAATGTTTATTTTCTTTCAAAAAGTTACAAGTTTCTCAAACTGCAAAATATATAAAGTCAGTTGTAAGAACATCATATGAGACAGTGAGGAAGTTGAGACAATTGGCTGGCCTAAAGTGCTCGGACCCACTTGTGGGTGTTCATGTCAGATGTTACCATTGATACCAATACCATCACGCATGTTCCTTTGGCACAATATATCAACCCCGAGAACATAAAACATTAGATATAATTTATCCTGTGTAGTATATGAGCTAATAGGTTGTAATTGGACTCTTTGTTGTATCATATTTACATTAACTGTATTTTACCTGTTGGTTGCATTTTTATAGTGTGGTCCTATTTTTACATTATGTTTAGACAATAAGCAGCAATTTGTGCTGCTATGTTAAAAGCTTGCCCATCCTTTATACAAGCAGCAGCAGAATTAAAGTAGTTGTTTATATCTCTCCTCATTCAATTCTCTTGACTGGCTTTCATCAAAGGCCTTAAGAGTCCTTAACTTGCTCTTAAATGTTTTCTGGTAGGAGTGAGTTACAGAACAGTCACACACCCCTTAAAATTACTGACTTTTCCAGATTATTGAACATGAACATTTCAAAATGCTGTAAAATTAAGGATTGCTGTTTTTGAAAATCAGACATAATTTTGACTTAATATATATCCAATAAACATATTTATAATGCATTGTGGTCACCCTTATAATTGAAAAATTCCTATAATGGACAAGTTGTATTCACAAACGATTGTTTGCACTGACTAGCAATTAACTATTTAGACTAGTGCATTGGAGTAACTGAACATTATATATTTTAACTTCAGTGAATACAATTGGATCAATAGCCAAGATTATCACAAACCTATTCTTTATCAATTGACATCAGTTCTGTTAAAGAAAATGCACAGCCAAAAAATATTCTATGTGCTTTAGTAGAATGCAATAAAAAAACTAGAGATAGGTACTGAAAGTACTATTCATTTATGTTATGAATTCCCAGTGTTATGGTTGGGTTTTGGGCTGTTCTTACTATTCATGGACAATTTGGAGTAAATTTGCAATATTACAATATTTGAATAATTCATTTCACTTGCTCATATCATATTGGGTTTCGTGGATAATATTCATTATTAAAATATAAGAGGCTTATGCATGTTTCATAGGTTAATTATTCAGCCATTAATATACCAAATTTGCAATGTTGGAAGGTCATATTAAATATGAAACTACAGCTTTGCTGGCATGTGTACTGATGTTAAAAATAGGTTCTGTTCTAGAATGGGGGTATTCAGAATTATATTTATTCGTATAGTGCCTCATATTCCAGCAACTCACTTGCTTCTGGCTGCTATAATTTTAAATTAAGAATTGTTCTAATTTTGCATAATTTTCTTCTCATACTGGCTTATGTTCATTTCCCATATTGTTCAATAATTTGTCTGATATGTCCTTTTATTTAAACTCAATTTGGAGATATTTGCACCTTTGCTATCACCAACAAGACAAATTATTTTAATGAACACAAAAAAAATATCTTGGGCTAATGAATGCCATCTTTACTTTTGTAAAATTACAACCCAGGTCAGGGATGCACAAAGTTCAGTTGTCCTTTTGTGCAACTTGTTTTTCTCCTCAGCCCATGATACAAATGAAACATCACTGTCCTATGGCAGCTACTTTTTGCTTTCTTTGCTCTAACTGGTCATCAAAAATGGAAACCTATTCAGCATTCCCCCAGCCATCACTGGGAAGTAAATATGATCAAAGAATTTGGTTCAGCTGATACGCCAGCTTTCCTCTGAGAGAGCAATCCCATGGTCCTCTGGTATTATCGCAGCTTTGCCTTTTAGATGGCAAGAGGACAAGAGATTGACCAGCACCCGCAGAATATGTGCTCCAAGGTGACTAAATACCTTCAAGAAAGGAAGGGGAGTTGAGGGAAAACTGAGGAGCTGTGGGGTTGGGATCATGATGGAAGATAAATGGATAACTTTAACAATGCGGAAAGAAATAAGAAAAAGTGCCCTGCGTACATGGGTCGAGATTTGTCTTGGCTAGTGGTGTTGAACGGGTGGTAGTGCAATGATCACCCATTACATATCCCACATGTTGTTTTGTTTCATTAAAGTTGATATAAACCCCGCCTACTCTGTGTCACCTGTTTTCCGCTGCCAGCAAAGACAAATTTCTACTACACGACTTGTTTTGAAATGTCTGGTTTCCTCAGTTATCAAAGAATGTCATCATGGCATCTCCCATGTACTTTCACTGCTTCAACTTGTATTGCAACATTGTCCTTGCATTTCGCAGGTCCTCCAGTAAACGTTACATGCAATATTTTTATCAACAGTTTCGGCTCAGTCACGGAGACCACAATGGTAAGTGTTGATGGCCACGGTCAAATAACTTGATGTCTTGTACGGTAGCAGCTTGTCAATTTTCTTTCTTTTGTTCTATCATTCAAATTGCAGGTCGTCCTGTTAATGTTACTTGCAACATATTTATCAACAGCTTTGGTTCAATAGCAGAAACTACAATGGTGAGTGGGACTGAACATTGAGGCCATCTTGTAATATATTGCCTAGTTTGTCAGACTACCACCAGGGCGTCCAGTCAGATAATCAGAACCAAGCTACACTGCTCCAAATAATTTGTTGGCTGCTATTTCCTAATCTGTGAATCAATGAGGCATCCAACAGCTAGTTTTGGATCATTTGTCTTCTGAGGAAAAAAACATAAAACTCAATTGTAGGCTGTACAGAATGCAATATTTGCATTGTGGAACATAGAGGGTGAGTAGGCCATTTCTAATGCAAAATACTTCAGGTTAATGATATTTTCCATTCCTTAAAAGCACATTTAAAAGCATTATTCCAGAATTTCACTAACTGGCTAACTGCAAACTACACCAATCTCAAAATCAACATATCCTGAGCATCCTAATGGCTTAAAGGTGATTAAAAACTGCCATAACTGAGCAGAAATCAGCATAAGCAATGCAAACCCTGGGGAAAATGCAGAGCATACACCACATCCCTTTTTGCGTATTCCTCTTTATTTATGAAAATTTATGTTTAAAGTCATTAAATCACCCTTTATAAACACTAGCAAGTCCGGGGGAAGCTATGGCATAATCGTAATATGATTAGATTAATGATCCAGAAGTCCAGTCTAATGCTTTAAGACATGGGTGTACTTTCTTAAAATTCATTTATGGAATGTGGGTATTGCCTATCCCTCAACAACAATTGTTAGAATTTAAATTCAATTTATAAATCTAAAATATAAAGCTACTCTCAATACTAGTGCCGTGAACCTATCGTTGATTCTGATAAAACCCCTTCAGGTTCACTAAGGTCCTTTAGAGAAGGAAATCTCCCATATTTGCCTAATTTATCTCATTTGAATGATTTATTTATTGTCACTCATATTTTACAGTGAATCATACAGTAAAATATAGTGAAAAGCTTCAACAGTGGCCCCAATCCGGCACCATTTTGAATAGTTTAGGAATAAAAAGGGTACAAGATATAATTGAAAGAGAGCCCTGAGCCGGCTCATCAGTGACACCTGTGCTGCCACCCCTCCTCCGTTGTCCCGTCACCGCCTGTGCCTGACCCACCAACTTGGGAATGGCCACCCTTTAGGTGCCATCTCTTCGCTGCTGGGCCTAACTCACCACCAACACTGCTGCTGATGCCAGTGCCGACTCCCGTGCTGAACCCAGTCTCCCCTTATGGCAGACTAGCAGGACTGAATGTGACCTCTTGCCCGGGACACATCGGCCCCTGCAAGCCTTCTTTCTTTTTTTCTCTCTTTTTACCTCAGCTCTCTTTCTTTTGTTTTTAACTTCTGCTCCTCTTTCCTTCGGAGCCTCTTGCGCCCGGTTAGTTGGTGAAATCGGCGTGGCAGTGAGAGCGGGCCATGCGCGGGATGGCGGCTCCTTCTGGCCGTCAAAGGCAGTGGCGGACATGGCTCTTCATGGCACCTGGAAGCGGCAGCGGTGGCAGTGGCAGCAAGGGTGTCCTCTTGGCATTCGGGGCTGGCAGCAGCAAAGCTCCTCCAGCAATCGGAGGCAGTGCTGCACCAGATTTTTCAAAATGGCGGCCTTCGATGTGACTGCAGACCCAGGGCAATGTGGTTAACTCCCAACTCCCCTCTGGAATGGCTGAACAAGCTGGAATATAAACAAGAAGAGCTAGCCTAATGGCAACCATGTAACCATTGTCAATTCTTGTAAAAACCCACGTGGTTCACTAATGTCCTTTAAGGAAGGAAATCTGACATCCATATCCAGTCAGCCCTGCATGTGACTCTAGACCCACAGCAACGTGGTTGACTCCAAACTGTCCTTTAAGGATGGGCAATAAATGCTGGCTCAACCATCAATGCTGACATCTCACGAAAGAATAAAATAAAAATCCATTCAGTTCAAGGCTAATTAAAGATGGGGAACAAATGCTGGCCTTGCCACCAACACCCGCATCCCATAAAATAATTAAAGAAAATGCAACTTCAATTTTTATTGTACCTCATTTGGAAGTTGTGAAGCCACCCTTATAGGTACAGAAAAGATGTCCCTGGTTTGAGTGAGAAGAAATTTTAAAAGTCACTTTAAATTTCAGCAGAAAGCCCACTTGAGGACTGGCATCAATATAAGAAAGTCGCACTAGTTGGCCTTTTGCAGAGTGGAGGTGAAGCTACATTAATGAGAGACAAAGGGATGTATATGATCTTGCAGATTCTGTGAGGAATTGAAGAAATTGAAGAATGGAAACAGACGTATGCCATTTATGCCTGAGTTTCCTTGACGTATTGCACAGCAAATTAGCATGTTGTACCTATGCTGTCATTTTGGTGAAAGGTTTCACGAAATTCGGGGGATCACTGTAAAGGCACATGTATTTCCCAGGCCCTGAAATCATGCTTTGTGAAGATTAATGTATGAGCACTTAACTTGTGTGCATAATAATCTCGACACAGTATAATTTTGTTAATTAAATTCCTTTGTGCAATATTTTAATGGAGGAGATTTATTTTAAATAGATTAACACCTCCCTCAAACTAGCAGGCCAAGGGATTCCATGGCAACAGTCATATGTTAATCTTCATGGAATGCCAGTACAAATCTTGAGATTAGATGTTAGATGGGGAACAGACTGGTGCTGTAATATGCCTCTTGACTTTTATATACTGCAATCGCTTAGAAGGCCGCTTCACCAATGTCTAATAGCAACAAGGAATTGTCAATAAATGCCAGCCTCATTAACGATAACTGTACTCCCTAAGAAGGAATTTTTAAAAAGTTATCTGGATAAAGAAAAAACATTTACTTAACAATTGCATTTCCAATCAGCAAGTTTTTTTGTACAAGCAGTTAACAAGCTTACCTTTCATTCACTGTGCCACTTTTAAGCAACTTTATTCCATTTATTCTAAAGTAAATGGACTAACACATACTTAACGGTAATACACAAAGGAACATACTATAATTTTCTTGAATATACCTGAGTTTCATAGACCACAAAATGGACCCCGATGTGTGAAAGAATTACTCTTAGATTTTCAAAATAAAGTTACAAAATTATCACTGAGAATTATGTATAAATAGAACAGATTTTAAACTTGTTGGTAAAACAATTTATGTTTGTTTTAGGCTTCATGGCTAGGCTTAAAACAAAATGCTCTGTTTCATTAATAATATTTCACCCACTGACTAAGGAATCAGACAAGGACATCACCAATATTAACAAATAATTGTCAGATCTTGCAGAGCAGTTGCGCTGCGTGAGTCACTTCAAAGTTGCAGCTTCACAGCAACGCAGAATGTATAACATCAGGTGATGCAGTTCATTAGCAGTTGAGTAAACGGAGGAGCTAGTTTCACGCTGCTGTGGGGTTGCACTGGCCACAGTTTAAGTTAGTATTAAAAAGATGGCTTTCCATAAAGCCCTTAAACATAATTTTGAAGCTGTTGGAGGTTATGGAACTGCCTTTGGGAAAAACCTTATTTCCCTTACCCAGGATAGCACAGACTCTTTCAAAAAGTAAGGCACCAATGCGACTGGTGGTCCATTTCAGAGTGGGATCAGTTTCAAATTGGGGAACGATCACTCAACATCAAGAATCGATGGTTTAGTCAACTCTTAATTCAGAGTCACAAAATAAAGAATTTTAACCACAAACAATAAACACGTTTGCGGTGGATGGGCACTCAAGTTCTTAAAACTTGAAATTCCAACCCAGCTACCTTCACTCCTGATTTTAGCTGAGACAAGGGGTGAATGAACAATCTAGAATAGAATAGAATAGAATATGCTTTATATCCAACGTCCTACTCCAAGGAAGTGGGTTGATACTTTCTGTCAGGGCTGTGAACCTTTGTTATTTTAGAGATTTAGTCAAGCAGTTACATGCTTCGATGAGTGATGTACAGAATGTATGCTTGGGCCCGTTACAATCTCTGTGCCCCCACTGACTTCCCTAAAGATTAATTCCACCCCTACACTGATTGACTCTGATCTCACTCCCTCCCCTATCTGCCCTTTCTGCACCCCCTCCAATAATGTCTGCACTGAGAATGCCCACATTCCATGCACTTATTCTCGAAAGGAATGAGACACGGATATCACTTGCCTTGCAGCTCTCCGACCTATTCCCTATTCCAAAAGCCTGTCATTCAGCCTAGGAACCTGGTGGAGAGTTGACACATGCCAGAGATCAAACCCTAACACGATGCAGAGAACCCTGGGTAATAGGGCCCCACATCTTGGCTAACTGCCATCTTCCACTGGCTAAGTTGAAATCTAACTCAGAGAGCATCTTCTCGGATCATTTCACTTTCTAAGTTCAAAATTCTGACTTTGCTGAGCCACTCTTCATTCAAAGGGCTGACTGTCAATTCATTGTTTGTGAACGACAATCTGCTTTCATCACAAACAGGCTGGAATTGCAAGAAGTGTATAGCATTTTCTCAGTGCTGGATCTGTTTGCAACCTACCCGGCTAGATTCACCAGGGCAGTTTGTACTGATAGGTTGCTAGCTGTGTAGCCTATACAAGTATATCAATTAAGAAGGGCATGCAGCCGGCAGTCCACAGGCATTGCCTAGGAATCTCCATAAGTCAGCATAGACCCCAACATTGTTAATGTGTGCAAAATTGAATTTGCATCTATCGACTGCCTTGAAGAGGCTTAATTTATCTTGAACTGCAGCACAACACACTGCAACTTAACTATGAAAGTCATTTGCACACAATCCAACCTAAAGATTTGAAAAATCTGATGAAAAAGCTTCTAAAACTATGACAGTTAACTCCCACAATGACAAAGCCAATTTATGGTCTCTCCATGACTTTGTTTCTCAATCCTCATCATT